AACTGCAGTACTGACTACGGTAGTGACAACGCCCTCGGAAATATAAGCTGTAATAGAGCCAACGGGTTACCAAAGTTGGCAATCGATTGGTTTAAGCTGGCCACCAATTGCCTGTCTTAAGGCTCGTTCTCACTGCCCCGTATTCTTACGTTACGTTACGAAAAGTCATCGGGAAATCTGTGCTTCGTATTAAGCGTGGCTACCGAATCAAGGGGATAGCCTGGCACGCGACATTCGAGACACGAATGCTTCGGTGACTTAGACGTAACGTAAGAAATCGGTGCTGCGTGAAAAGTTGAACCGAGCTCAACTCCTTACGTTACGTTACGACGAACCTTGTGTCCTTGGTTGCCATGGCAACTCACCGTCCTAGCCCGTCGTCACCGAAATATTCGTGCCTCGAATGTTGCGTGCCAGGCTATCTGCTTGAATAGGTAACCACGCTTAATACGAAGCACAGATTTCCCGGTGACTTTTCGCAACGTAACGTAAGAAAACGGGGCAGTGTGAACGAGCCTTTAGCCAGTGGCCTACCAACGTTGGTAATTGATTGGCTTAGTCTGGTGTGATGAGCGATCCCGCGACCAGCCGAAGAGGACGAGAAAGAAGAAGACGAGGTGGGGGCATGCGAGGAGCGCGAGAGGGGATTCGGGCGGTTGACAAAGGACGGTGCAGACGCGACCAGGCCGGACCTCCGTCGGCGTGACCAGACGTCAAGAGGCCCGACCCACAAACCATTTCTCACGCAGTCCGGGCGCCAACCTTCCGGAGGGAAGACAAGACTGCATGCGTGGCGCAGTTGAACACCCGCTGCCACTCCGTGCCACAGACGTTCTGGGCCTGACTCAAGCCTTCGGCCAACGCCCAACTGCCTCGTCGCTACGTCCTTCGGACCAGACCTTGGCGGACACCTGGTCATAGGCTGCCACCGGCGTACGGGGCCTGATTCAAGCCTTCGGCCATCGGTCAACTGCCTCGTCACTACGTCCGGACCTCGGCCCTGACGTCGTAGACCCCTGATCATCGGCTACCACGGGTGCTACGCCGCAAGGGCTGAAAAGTCGTGAGCGAGGGACTTTTTAGGGGACACTCAAACCTTAACATTTGTTGAAGTACTGCTTGGGAGTGTGCTTTACTAAGACCAATGTGGGTTTGAAAGCGTTGATCTTTGACCTTTGGATCTTTTCGTAGATGCCATCAGTGCGAAGCTAACAATTGAAGAATCGGCAGCTTAAAAATGGTGCTGAAGTGGCTGCCAGGGTCTTGCAAAAGGGGAGGCTTGAGGAAGAGGCGTTCGGAAGCCGTAATGGGTCCCCAGCCCCAGGACTCGCCCCAGGACCTTCCCCAGGACCAGGCATAGGCTCCCCGCTGAGCTTCCATCCTAGCCCCTTTCAATAAAATTCCGAAAAAAGTATTAATTGATCTTGAATTAGTCATTTGCTCGCCAGATAAAATAGTGCACAGACAAAGCATAGGATGACCTTGCCATTTGTGCCCAGAATGTTTTTCTCGCAGTGGGCTGCTAATAAGAAACAGGCCAGAGGTTCTTAAAACCCAATGTTGGAATAACCAGGATTTAAACACATTGCCATCATTTCATAGCCAGCATTAAAGACATGGCATTAACACTGGAACATGCCAATGAATCAGCTTGACTGCCGATAACGGCCTATTCAATGATTGAACTTGTATACCAATGATGGCATAGCCATTGAATTAGTGTGAAAGCCAAAATTGGCATAGCCAATGACATAGTGTGGATGCCAACGATGGCTGAAATATTGGTTTAACGATGGCCTAAAAAAGGTGCCAATGATGGCTGGATCATTGGTTGAACGATGGCCCAACGTTGGCGCCAATGACGGCTGGAAGGCTGGTTGAACGATGGCCCAACGTTGGTGCCAATGATGGCTGGAACATTCGTTGAACGATGGCCCAACGTTGGTTCCAATGGCTGGGCCAACATTGGAAGAAGTTGCGCTCGGCCAGAATACCTATGTTGGACCAACCTCCGGAGCCAGCGTTTGCCATTGTTGGCCCAATGTAGGTCCAACATTGGTGTGCTGCCTGGGTACCTCAGCCACCTGCTCTGTGTGAGTGACCTGCGTTGATCCGTTGTGTCCATCTGTAGCAGACAGCAGGAGCCAAAGCGGCCCACCATGCATCCAGTGCCTCGTCATCAGTCTGCGTCGCCTAAGAAATAGTAATACGGAAATTAAATTAGCACTCAACATCCTGTGCCACAAACAAATCTATGAATACTCTGCATTCACGATGGCAGGCACTGTAAAGTAAGAAACAAAGGTCCAGAGCATTATACTCTATGCTAAACAGAACTTTCATTTACAGTCCTAGAAGTGGGGCCTTTAAACGATATTACTTGCAGTCACAGGGTGCCCCCCAACCCCCATAAATTGTCGTTAGTTACCATTGTAGACGTGCACTTCGTAGGCATAGCTTGGGCTGCCGTGTGGACGAGCGTCGCAAAGGAATCCCAGTTGGAACTCTCGGCCTCGGTTGTCGCCTCTGGCTCAGAAACCATGTGAGGGTCAGGAGGCGTCCCCACTGGAGGTGGCGTGGGTTGGCAGCGGCTGGATCGTTTCAGCATCCTGAAAGCTTGAACATGTCACATCTTGCACTATATGCTATACCACATTGCTATTACCTCTTTGCCCTCTCTACATTGGGCGTCTTTTTCTTGTAGAGAGGCGGCAAGATGGTGGGGATGTACGAGGGGTGTGCCTCAGCGTCGTTCTTACAGTTGTACACAAAATGGGCACTGCAAATTCTCGTCGCCGGGGACGGCAACCACTTGAAGCCATCCTCGCTGGAAAATAAAATAACCTGAGACCGAGCTTTGGCCTGACCAGCCGAAAATCAGGCCGACCTATATTAGCTTCTATGTCGACATCACACTTTTTAAATATCTTAGGTGAAATATGTTTACCAGAGTTGCGTCGCGTCACTGTGTAACTGCTACGATACGAGCACGTAAATCGCAAACTCTGGTGACGCCGGCATTGCGACAGTGCTTTACCGCACTTGGCATATCCACATTTTTTATGCTGACCGTGATACTGCCGTATTTTCCAGACTAAACTCCGCAAAAGAGAATTTGGGGTCAAAAATAAAAGTTTTTGCTCAGATAGTCCGCAAGCGGCGCATATTCCGCAGTTAGTGTCTAATCCGAGCGTGCAAATTATCATACACAGCACACCTTAAAAATGCCTGCTGTATTAGCTCACAAAGAAGCTTGTATCATACACAAATCACTAATAATATACCTTATTACTCATAAAATCCTTCGCGTCTTGCCACAGGGAACAATGCACCTTTAGATACCCTTACAGAAATGTCATATATCACCCAGATATATTTGGTATTGGGCCGTATATGGGCATATAAGTAGACATATACGGTCATATATTACCATACAAGGGCTGAAATGAGGACAGATATGGGAAGATGACACCATATATGACGACATATATTGCCAGATAAAGTCATATATGGTGCCAGTGGCTGCCATATATAACAGTATAGGATTCCTGATACTCCTGTATATGGCAGTATATGGTGCCAGTCAACATGTAGGTAGCACTCCGCGTCGGCCGGTATCGGGACTACGCCGGCCCGTACATGGTAACAGGATGGCAGCCCACGGGCACCGGGGAGCTACAGGCCCCGGCCGGCGTCAGGCTTTCATCTTGCTCATTGGCCAGTCCAGCCGTGTCTGGCCGGCATCGGGTTTTTGCTGTCTTTACTGGCTAGTCTTTCCATGAAGGTTCCAGTAACTGGCCGGCATCGGTATTTTGCTGTCTTTGATGGCCGTGTATATATTTACGGAAGTTCAGTAACTGGCCGGCACCGGTATTTTGCTGTGTTTGATGGCCAGTATTTACGTGGAAGTTCAGTAAGTCCGTAGCTTTCACAGCCCCAGTCGTCTGACGCCTTCATTTTCGCAGTTCGTACCCAGAAAAAATTGCCAAAAATTGGTGCCACGATGAATTTACCCCATGGTGATTAATGCATACCATACCACTTCTGATCGCGAAAATTTGTGCCCGCGAAATAATTTTGGACGCTGGCATTTATTCCTCGCAAAATGCCGAGCTCTAAAGATCAATTGCTGTACACGTGTTTCCTATGACACACCAACGCACACCAACTCGGAGCGCACACCAACTCGAAGCACGTGGAGCGAAAGCTTGCGCTGCAGAACTCAAGGATCCTAGGTTCAATCCCCACCCATGCCCATTTCGATCTGGATGAGCATAGTACCGGCGTGCAGTCATGTATCACTACTGCGTGGTGCAGGGTGGAGACCCCAGGCTAGCAGTCATACCGCACTGGCTAAATTGCTCATCTACAGCGAGCAACTCATCGCAACTTTGAAATGGCTGACCAACTACACGCTGTATAAATATCCACAGAACCCCAACAGAAGTGCGTCACTACTAGCATCCAGGATTGCTGTGTGTCTTGTATTTGGATTTTGTATTTGTTTATTTAGTGTTCCCAATAATGGCTGAAGCCTTCCCATTGGTGCACTTGTTAGTAGTAACACGAACGAACGGCCAGAGTAGTGAACAGTGCCACTCTTGCCGCTCGCCACCGCGCGGATTGGTTTTCGGAGAACTTTGCAGTAATGGTCTCTGGTATTTGGTCATATATCGCACATGGACACAACAAGGGCGCTGTACCTACAATTGAAAACTTGCAAGACTTGCGTGAATATACCCTGTAGGTGCTCGCACTTTCAGAGTCATTTTAATGTTGCAGAAATGATAGAATGGATACTTGGGCGAGTTGGTGAACCATATTCTACGGTGACAGCGCAGAGAAACAATCACGCTTCAGATACTCGGCAAGACAAGCTCACGCGCAGAACTTAAAATTTTCGTGTATTCGACTACTTTGTTCTCTTCAACGTGTGGATCGACTTTCCAGAACGTGATAAGTTGAAGAAATAGCACAAAATACAAGAAAAACAATCGACAATGACAAACGACAATGATTTGGGTGCCGTGTCGTGGCAGCCTGCGTCCGAGCATGTGGTAAGTTATTTGAGAATGAGGGTGCTTTGGCGACCTGTGCGACTGGGTCTGATGTTTCGAGCATTGTCCCTATGAATTTATTTCAGACCATACAGTCCACTGACGACAATGATTTGGGTGCCGTGTCGTGGCAGCCTGCGTCCGAGCATGTGGTAAGTTAGTTGAGAATGAGGGTGCTTTGGCGACGTGTGTGACTGGGTCCGATGTTTCGAGCATTGTCCCTATGAATTTATTTCAGACCATACAGTCCACGGACGACAATGATTTGGGTGCCGTGTCGTGGCAGCCTGCGTCCGAGCATGTGGTAAGTTAGTTGAGAATGAGGGTGCTTTGGCGACCTGTGTGACTGGGTCTGATGTTTCGAGCATTGTCCCAATGAATTTCTTTCAGACCATACAGTCCACTGACGACAATGATTTGGGTGCCGTGTCGTAGCAGCCTGCGTCCGAGCATGTGGTAAGTTAGTTGAGAATGAGGGTGCTTTGGCGACCTGTGTGACTGGGTCTGATGTTTCGAGCATTGTCCCTATGAATTTCTTTCAGACCACACAGTCCACTGACGACAATGATTTGGGTGCCGTGTCGTGGCAGCCTGCGTCCGAGCATGTGGTAAGTTAGTTGAGAATGAGGGTGCTTTGGCGACCTGTGTGACTGGGTCTGATGTTTCGAGCATTCTCCCTATGAATTTATTTCAGACCATACAGTCCACTGACGACAATGATTTGGGTGCCGTGTCGTGGCAGCCTGCGTCCGAGCATGTGGTAAGTTAGTTGAGAATGAGGGTGCTTTGGCGACCTGTGTGACTGGGTCTGATGTTTCGAGCATTGTCCCTATGAATTTATTTCAGACCATACAGTCCACTGACGACAATGATTTGGGTGCCGTGTCGTGGCAGCCTTCGTCCGAGCATGTGGTAAGTCAGTTGAGAATGAGGGTGCTTTGGCGACCTGTGTGACTGGGTCCGATGTTTCGAGCATTGTCCCTATGAATTTATTTCAGACCATACAGTCCACTGACAACAATGATTTGGGTGCCGCGTCGTGGCAGCCTGCGTCCGAGCATGTGGTAAGTCAGTTGAGAATGAGGGTGCTTTGGCGACCTGTGTGACTGGGTCTGATGTTTCGAGCATTGTCCCTATGAATTTATTTCACACCATACAGTCCACTGACAACAATGATTTGGGTGCCGCGTCGTGGCAGCCTGCGTCTGAGCATGTGGTAAGTTCGTTGAGTATAGGGTTGCTTTGGGCGACCTGTGTGACTGGGTCTGATGTTTCGAGCATTGTCTCATTCATTGAATTTCTTTCAGACCATACAGTCCACTGACGACAATGATTTGGGTGCCGTGTCGTGGCAGCCTGCGTCCGAGCATGTGGTAAGTTAGTTGCGAATGAGGGTGCTTTGGCGACCTGTGTGACTGGGTCTGATGTTTCGAGCTTTGTCCCTATGAATTTATTTCAGACCATACAGTCCACTGACGACAATGATTTGGGTGCCGTGTCGTGGCAGCCTGCGTCCGAGCATGTGGTAAGTTAGTTGAGAATGAGGGTGCTTTGGCGACCTGTGTGACTGGGTCTGATGTTTCGAGCATTGTCCCTATGAATTTATTTCAGACCATACAGTCCACTGACGACAATGATTTGGGTGCCGTGTCGTGGCAGCCTGCGTCCGAGCATGTGGTAAGTTAGTTGAGAATGAGGGTGCTTTGGCGACCTGTGTGACTGGGTCTGATGTTTCGAGCATTGTCCCTATGAATTTCTTTCAGACCATACAGTCCACAGACGACAATGATTTGGGTGCCGTTTTGTGGCAGCCTGCGTCCGAGCATGTGGTAAGTCAGTTGAGAATGAGGGTGCTTTGGCGACCTGTGTGACTGGGTCTGATGTTTCGAGCATTGTCCCTATGAATTTATTTCAGACCATACAGTCCACTGACAACAATGATTTGGGTGCCGCGTCGTGGCAGCCTGCGTCTGAGCATGTGGTAAGTTCGTTGAGTATGGGGGTGCTTTGGGCGACCTGTGTGACTGGGTCTGATGTTTCGAGCATTGTCTCATTCATTGAATTTCTTTCAGACCATACAGTCCACTGACGACAATGATTTGGGTGCCGTGTCGTGGCAGCCTGCGTCCGAGCATGTGGTAAGTTAGTTGAGAATGAGGGTGCTTTGGCGACCTGTGTGACTGGGTCTGATGTTTCGAGCATTGTCCCTATGAATTTATTTCAGACCATACAGTCCACTGACGACAATGATTTGGGTGCCGTGTCGTGGCAGCCTGCGTCCGAGCATGTGGTAAGTTAGTTGAGAATGAGGGTGCTTTGGCGACCTGTGTGACTGGGTCTGATGTTTCGAGCATTGTGCCTATGAATTTATTTCAGACCATACAGTCCACTGACGACAATGATTTGGGTGCCGTGTCGTGGCAGCCTGCGTCCGAGCATGTGGTAAGTTAGTTGAGAATGAGGGTGCTTTGGCGACCTGTGTGACTGGGTCTGATGTTTCGAGCATTGTCCCTATGAATTTATTTCAGACCATACAGTCCACTGACGACAATGATTTGGGTGCCGTGTCGTGGCAGCCTGCGTCCGAGCATGTGGTAAGTCAGTTGAGAATGAGGGTGCTTTGGCGACCTGAGTGACTGGGTCTGATGTTTCGAGCATTGTCCCCATGAATTTATTTCAGACCATACAGTCCACTGACGACAATGATTTGGGTGCCGTGTCGTGGCAGCCTGCGTGTGAGCATGTGGTAGGTTAGTTGAGAATGAGGGTGCTTTGGGCGACCTGTGTCCCTGGGTCTGAGTTTCGAGCATTGTCTCAGTCGTTGAATTTATTTCAGAGCATACAGTCCACTGACGACAGATTTCTGCGCCGTGTTGAGGCAGCCTGCGTCTGAGCATGTGGTAACTTCGTTGAGTATGGGGGTGCTTTGGGCGACCTGTGTGACTGGGTCTGATGTTTCGAGCATTGTCTCATTCGTTGAATTTATTTCAGACCATACAGTCCACTGACGACAATGATTTGGGCGCCGTGTCGTGGCAGCCTGCGTCCGAGCATGTGGTAAGTTACTTGAGAATGAGGGTGCTTTGGCGACCTGTGTGACTGGGTCTGATGTTTCGAGCATTGTCCCTATGAATTTATTTCAGACCATACAGTCCACTGACGACAATGATTTGGGTGCCGTGTCGTGGCAGCCTGCGTCCGAGCATGTGGTAAGTCAGTTGAGAATGAGGGTGCTTTGGCGACCTGTGTGACTGGGTCTGATGTTTCGAGCATTGTCCCTATGAATTTATTTCAGACCATACAGTCCACTGACGACAATGATTTGGGTGCCGTGTCGTGGCAGCCTGCGTCTGAGCATGTGGTAAGTTAGTTGAGAATGAGGGTGCTTTGGGCGACCTGTGTCCCTGGGTCTCAGTTTCGAGCATTGTCTCAGTCGTTGAATTTATTTCAGAGCATACAGTCCACTGACGACACAGATTTCTGCGCCGTGTTGAGGCAGCCTGCGTCTGAGCATGTGGTAACTTCGTTGAGTATGGGGGTGCTTTGGGCGACCTGTGTGACTGGGTCTGATGTTTCGAGCATTGTCTCATTCGTTGAATTTATTTCAGACCATACAGTCCACTGGCGACAATGATTTGGGTGCCGTGTCGTGGCAGCCTGCGTCCGAGCATGTGGTAAGTTAGTTGAGAATGAGGGTGCTTTGGCGACCTGTGTGACTGGGTCTGATGTTTCGAGCATTGTCCCTATGAATTTATTTCAGACCATACAGTCCACTGACGACAATGATTTGGGTGTCGTGTCGTGGCAGCCTGCGTCCGAGCATGTGGTAAGTTAGTTGAGAATGAGGGTGCTTTGGCGACCTGTCTTACTGGGTTTGATGTTTCGAGCATTGTCCCTATGAATTTATTTCAGACCGCGCAGCGCACTGACGACACTGACTTGGGTGCCGCGTCGTGGCAGCCTGCGTCTGAGCATGTGGTAAGTTAGTTGAGAATGAGGGTGATTTGGCGACCTGTGTGACTGGGTCTGGTGTTTCGAGCATTGTCCCTATGAATTTCTTTCAGACCACACAGTCCACTGACGACAATGATTTGGGTGCCGTGTCGTGGCAGCCTGCGTCCGAGCATGTGGTAAGTTAGTTGAGAATGAGGGTGCTTTGGCGACCTGTGTGACTGGGTCTGATGTTTCGAGCATTCTCCCTATGAATTTATTTCAGACCATACAGTCCACTGACGACAATGATTTGGGTGCCGTGTCGTGGCAGCCTGCGTCCGAGCATGTGGTAAGTTAGTTGAGAATGAGGGTGCTTTGGCGACCTGTGTGACTGGGTCTGATGTTTCGAGCATTGTCCCTATTAATTTATTTCAGACCATACAGTCCACTGACGACAATGATTTGGGTGCCGTGTCGTGGCAGCCTGCGTCCGAGCATGTGGTAAGTCAGTTGAGAATGAGGGTGCTTTGGCGACCTGTGTGACTGGGTCTGATGTTTCGAGCATTGTCCCTATGAATTTATTTCAGACCATACAGTCCACTGACAACAATGATTTGGGTGCCGCGTCGTGGCAGCCTGCGTCCGAGCATGTGGTAAGTCAGTTGATAATGAGGGTGCTTTGGCGACCTGTGTGACTGGGTCTGATGTTTCGAGCATTGTCCCTATGAATTTATTTCACACCATACAGTCCACTGACAACAATGATTTGGGTGCCGCGTCGTGGCAGCCTGCGTCTGAGCATGTGGTAAGTTCGTTGAGTATAGGGTTGCTTTGGGCGACCTGTGTGACTGGGTCTGATGTTTCGAGCATTGTCTCATTCATTGAATTTATTTCAGACCATACAGTCCACTGACGACAATGATTTGGGTGCCGTGTCGTGGCAGCCTGCGTCCGAGCATGTGGTAAGTTAGTTGAGAATGAGGGTGCTTTGGCGACCTGTGTGACTGGGTCTGATGTTTCGAGCATTGTCCCTATGAATTTATTTCAGACCATACAGTCCACTGACGACAATGATTTGGGTGCCGTGTCGTGGCAGCCTGCGTCCGAGCATGTGGTAAGTTAGTTGAGAATGAGGGTGCTTTGGCGACCTGTGTGACTGGGTCTGATGTTTCGAGCATTGTCCCTATTAATTTATTTCAGACCATACAGTCCACTGACGACAATGATTTGGGTGCCGTGTCGTGGCAGCCTGCGTCCGAGCATGTGGTAAGTTAGTTGCGAATGAGGGTGCTTTGGCGACCTGTGTGACTGGGTCTGATGTTTCGAGCTTTGTCCCTATGAATTTATTTCAGACCATACAGTCCACTGACGACAATGATTTGGGTGCCGTGTCGTGGCAGCCTGCGTCCGAGCATGTGGTAAGTTAGTTGAGAATGAGGGTGCTTTGGCGACCTGTGTGACTGGGTCTGATGTTTCGAGCATTGTCCCTATGAATTTATTTCAGACCATACAGTCCACTGACGACAATGATTTGGGTGCCGTGTCGTGGCAGCCTGCGTCCGAGCATGTGGTAAGTTAGTTGAGAATGAGGGTGCTTTGGCGACCTGTGTGACTGGGTCTGATGTTTCGAGCATTGTCCCTATGAATTTCTTTCAGACCATACAGTCCACAGACGACAATGATTTGGGTGCCGTGTTGTGGCAGCCTGCGTCCGAGCATGTGGTAAGTCAGTTGAGAATGAGGGTGCTTTGGCGACCTGTGTGACTGGGTCTGATGTTTCGAGCATTGTCCCTATGAATTTATTTCAGACCATACAGTCCACTGACAACAATGATTTGGGTGCCGCGTCGTGGCAGCCTGCGTCTGAGCATGTGGTAAGTTCGTTGAGTATGGGGGTGCTTTGGGCGACCTGTGTGACTGGGTCTGATGTTTCGAGCATTGTCTCATTCATTGAATTTCTTTCAGACCATACAGTCCACTGACGACAATGATTTGGGTGCCGTGTCGTGGCAGCCTGCGTCCGAGCATGTGGTAAGTTAGTTGAGAATGAGGGTGCTTTGGCGACCTGTGTGACTGGGTCTGATGTTTCGAGCATTGTTCCTATGAATTTATTTCAGACCATACAGTCCACTGACGACAATGATTTGGGTGCCGTGTCGTGGCAGCCTGCGTCCGAGCATGTGGTAAGTTAGTTGAGAATGAGGGTGCTTTGGCGACCTGTGTGACTGGGTCTGATGTTTCGAGCATTGTGCCTATGAATTTATTTCAGACCATACAGTCCACTGACGACAATGATTTGGGTGCCGTGTCGTGGCAGCCTGCGTCCGAGCATGTGGTAAGTTAGTTGAGAATGAGGGTGCTTTGGCGACCTGTGTGACTGGGTCTGATGTTTCGAGCATTGTCCCTATGAATTTATTTCAGACCATACAGTCCACTGACGACAATGATTTGGGTGCCGTGTCGTGGCAGCCTGCGTCTGAGCATGTGGTAAGTTAGTTGAGAATGAGGGTGCTTTGGGCGACCTGTGTCCCTGGGTCTGACTTTCGAGCATTGTCTCAGTCGTTGAATTTATTTCAGAGCATACAGTCCACTGACGACAGATTTCTGCGCCGTGTTGAGGCAGCCTGCGTCTGAGCATGTGGTAACTTCGTTGAGTATGGGGGTGCTTTGGGCGACCTGTGTGACTGGGTCTGATGTTTCGAGCATTGTCTCATTCGTTGAATTTATTTCAGACCATACAGTCCACTGACGACAATGATTTGGGCGCCGTGTCGTGGCAGCCTGCGTCCGAGCATGTGGTAAGTTAGTTGAGAATGAGGGTGCTTTGGCGACCTGTGTGACTGGGTCTGATGTTTCGAGCATTGTCCCTATGAATTTATTTCAGACCATACAGTCCACTGACGACAATGATTTGGGTGCCGTGTCGTGGCAGCCTGCGTCCCAGCATGTGGTAAGTCAGTTGAGAATGAGGGTGCTTTGGCGACCTGTGTGACTGGGTCTGATGTTTCGAGCATTGTCCCTATGAATTTATTTCAGACCATACAGTCCACTGACGACAATGATTTGGGTGCCGTGTCGTGGCAGCCTGCGTCTGAGCATGTGGTAAGTTAGTTGAGAATGAGGGTGCTTTGGGCGACCTGTGTCCCTGGGTCTCAGTTTCGAGCATTGTCTCAGTCGTTGAATTTATTTCAGAGCATACAGTCCACTGACGACACAGATTTCTGCGCCGTGTTGAGGCAGCCTGCGTCTGAGCATGTGGTAACTTCGTTGAGTGTGGGGGTGCTTTGGGCGACCTGTGTGACTGGGTCTGATGTTTCGAGCATTGTCTCATTCGTTGAATTTATTTCAGACCATACAGTCCACTGACGACAATGATTTGGGTGCCGTGTCGTGGCAGCCTGCGTCCGAGCATGTGGTAAGTTAGTTGAGAATGAGGGTGCTTTGGCGACCTGTGTGACTGGGTCTGATGTTTCGAGCATTGTCCCTATGAATTTATTTCAGACCATACATTCCACTGACGACAATGATTTGGGTGCCGTGTCGTGGCAGCCTGCGTCCGAGCATGTGGTAAGTTAGTTGAGAATGAGGGTGCTTTGGCGACCTGTGTTACTGGGTTTGATGTTTCGAGCATTGTCCCTATGAATTTATTTCAGACCGCGCAGCGCACTGACGACACTGACTTGGGTGCCGCGTCGTGGCAGCCTGCGTCTGAGCATGTGGTAAGTTAGTTGAGAATGAGGGTGATTTGGCGACCTGCGTGACTGGGTCTGATGTTTCGAGCATTGTCCCTATGAATTTATTTCAGACCATACAGTCCACTGACGACAATGATTGGGGTGCCGTGTCGTGGCAGCCTGCGTCCGAGCATGTGGTAAGTTAGTTGAGAATGAGGGTGCTTTCGTGACCTGTGTTACTGGGTTTGATGTTTCGAGCATTGTCCCTATGAATTTATTTCAGACCGCGCAGCGCACTGACGACACTGACTTGGGTGCCGCGTCGCGGCAGCCTGCGTCTAAGCATGTGGTAAGTTAGTTGAGAATGAGGGTGATTTGGCGACCTGTGTGACTGGGTCTGATGTTTCGAGCATTGTCCCTATGAATTTATTTCAGACCATACAGTCCACTGACGACAATGATTGGGGTGCCGTGTCGTGGCAGCCTGCGTCCGAGCATGTGGTAAGTTAGTTGAGAATGAGGGTGCTTTCGCGACCTGTGTTACTGGGTTTGATGTTTCGAGCATTGTCCCTATGAATTTATTTCAGACCGCGCAGCGCACTGACGACACTGACTTGGGTGCCGCGTCGTGGCAGCCTGCGTCTGAGCATGTGGTAAGTTAGTTGAGACTGAGGGTGATTTGGCGACCTGTGTGACTGGGTCTGATGTTTCGAGCATTGTCCCTATGAATTTATTTCAGACCATACAGTCCACTGACGACAATGATTGGGGTGCCGTGTCGTGGCAGCCTGCGTCCGAGCATGTGGTAATTTAGTTGAGAATGAGGGTGCTTTCGGGACCTGTGGTACTGGGTTTGATGTTTCGAGCATTGTCCCTATGAATTTATTTCAGACCGCGCAGCGCACTGACGACACTGACTTGGGTGCCGCGTCGTGGCAGCCTGCGTCTGAGCATGTGGTGAGTTAGTTGAGAATGAGGGTGATTTGGCGACCTGTGTGACTGGGTCTGATGTTTCGAGCATTGTCCCTATGAATTTATTTCAGACCATACAGTCCACTGACGATAATGATTGGGGTGCCGTGTCGTGGCAGCCTGCGTCCGAGCATGTGGTAAGTTAGTTGAGAATGAGGGTGCTTTCGTGACCTGTGTTACTGGGTTTGATGTTTCGAGCATTGTCCCTATGAATTTATTTCAGACCGCGCAGCGCACTGACGACACTGACTTGGGTGCCGCGTCGTGGCAGCCTGCGTCTGAGGATGTGGTGAGTTAGTTGAGAATGAGGGTGATTTGGCGACCTGTGTGACTGGGTCTGATGTTTCGAGCATTGTCCCTATGAATTTATTTCAGACCATACAGTCCACTGACGACAATGATTGGGGTGCCGTGTCGTGGCAGCCTGCGTCCGAGCATGTGGTAAGTTAGTTGAGAATGAGGGTGCTTTCGTGACCTGTGTTACTGGGTTTGATGTTTCGAGCATTGTCCCTATGAATTTATTTCAGACCGCGCAGCGCACTGACGACACTGACTTGGGTGCCGCGTCGTGGCAGCCTGCGTCTGAGCATGTGGTGAGTTAGTTGAGAATGAGGGTGATTTGGCGACCTGTGTGACTGGGTCTGATGTTTCGAGCATTGTCCCTATGAATTTATTTCAGACCATACAGTCCACTGACGACAATGATTGGGGTGCCGTGTCGTGGCAGCCTGCGTCCGAGCATGTGGTAAGTTAGTTGAGAATGAGGGTGCTTTCGTGACCTGTGTTACTGGGTTTGATGTTTCGAGCATTGTCCCTATGAATTTATTTCAGACCGCGCAGCGCACTGACGACACTGACTTGGGTGCCGCGTCGTGGCAGCCTGCGTCTGAGGATGTGGTAAGTTAGTTGAGAATGGGGGTGCTTTGGGCGACCTGTGTGACTGGGTCAGATATTTTGAGCATTACCTCAGTAATTGAATTTATTTCAGTCCATACAGTCCACTGACGACACAGATTTGGGTGCCGCGTCCTGGCAGCCTGCGTCTGGGCATGTGGTAAGTTCGTTGAGAATGGGGGTGCATTGGGCGACCTGTGTGACTGGGTCTGATATTTCGAGCATTGTCTCAGTCATTGAATTTATTTCAGACCATACACTCTACTGACGACACAGATTTGGGTGCCGCGTCCTGGCAGCCTGCGTCTGGGCATGTGGTAGGTTCGTTGAGAATGGGGGTGCTTTGGGCGACCTGTGTGACTGGGTCTGATGTTTCGAGCATTGTCTCAGTCGTTGAATTTATTTCAGACCATACAGTCCACTGACGACACAGATTTCTGCGCCGTGTTGTCGCAGCCTGCGTCTGAGCATGTGGTAAGTTAGTTGCGAATGGGGGTGCTTTGGCGACCTGTGTTACTGGTGTGATGTTTCGAGCATTCTCTCATTCGTTGAATTTATTTCAGACCATACAGTCCACTGACGACAATGATTTGGGTGCCGCGTCGTGGCAGCCTGCGTCTGAGCATGTGGTAAGCTACTTGAGAATGAGGGTGCTTTGGCGACCTGTGTGACTGGGTCTGATGTTTCGAGCATTGTCCCTAATGTTGAATTTATTTCAGACCGCGCAGCGCACTGACGACACTGACTTGGGTGCCGCGTCGTGGCAGCCTGCGTCTGAGCATGTGGTAAGTTAGTAGATAATGAGGGTGCTTTGGCGACCTGTGTGACTGGGTCTGATGTTTCGAGCATTGTCCCTATCGTTGAATTTATTTAGACCGCGCAGCGCACTGACGACACTGACTTGGGTGCCGCGTCGTGGCAGCCTGCGTCTTAGCATGTGGTAAGTTAGTTGAGAATGAGGGTGATTTGGCGACCTGTGTGACTGGGTCTGATGTTTCCAGCATTGTCTCTATCGTTGAATATATTTCAGACCACGCCGCCCACTGACGACACTGACTTGGGTGCCGCGTCTTGGCAGCCTGCGTCTGAGCATGTGGTAAGTTGGTTGAGAATGAGGGTGCCTTGGCGACTTGTGTGACTGGGTCTGATGTTTCGAGCATTGTCTCTATCGTTGAATTTATTTCAGACCACGCAGCCCACTGTCGACACAGACTTGGGTGCCGTGTCGTGGTTCCTTTTTGCAAATATGAGACTAGCCCAACTTGGACTACTGGTCTATCAATTACAAACTGAGATTAGGGACAGTAACACCAGTGCAAATGATGTACCAGACCACTCGCACAAATGAATCGTAGGAGAATACAACTGCAGAAGCTGCCCAGTATACATGAGTACAGTAAAATGTAATACTTATAAAAAAGCTAGTTGTGAAATTAATAAAAACTAAAGGTAAAAATGATTCTCTACAATACAGAGCATCCACTTGTCGACCAGAAAACTTGTCAAAGGATGGTGTTGCTCATGATGCCCATCCAGCATTTTGAAGACATACCTAGGAGCACTTAGGCTTACACACAGTTGACGAGAATGGTCTTAGTGTTGCTCTTATCAGAGCCTGCAAGGCGGCTGTTCGGTTGGCATAGCTAGGAAAACACACCAATGCCTGACAGCTTCAGATCCACAGGAAGTACTGCTTCGATCAGTTCAAGCACCATGTTATGCAGAATTGCTGTTGCCACAATGCCGGAAAGTGCAGTGTCCAGTTGTCAGGCTGAACTTGAAATCAGGAAAACAGCCATTTCTGTACATCCTACTGCCCTTCCATAAGGTGGATATGTCTATGTATGCATACGCACAGCCTCTGGTGTAGCAGGAATTATATTCGGGGGGGGGGGGGGGCTTTCTTTCATATTTGCGTATAGTAGTTAATGTACTCTACGACTGACGGATACAGGCACAGCCGTCCCAAACCTTCGGGTGGTAGTCCTTCAATATTTGTCTTGCTTTACTAACAAAAAAAAAAGAAAAAGTGATGATTTCAGGGAGGGGGTTTGGGGGGGGGGGGCAGGTTTGACCTTTCAAACTACCCCCCTGCTTGTGCCACTGCACACAGCATTTTAAGCATACAAAATGGGAACACATAGTTGAAGGGACGTTGAACAAAACTTTAATGCATGTGATAGTCACAGCATGCAGCTGTTCAAGAGGGGTCTTAACCACCAACATTAAGATGCAAACATGAGCCCTGTCTTTCCTCCCTAAGGCAATCGTCTCTGGTGCTGCAACTATAGTCGGTTACAAGTCAAGAAGGTAGGAGAAGCTCCTCCCACAAGTGTGATGCGCCCGTTTCAAATCTCTCCGCAGTCGTTAGAAGAGTTCACTAGAAACGCTCCTTGTTCCGCTTTAATGGATTCCCACTTGTCTCCGATCCCACTTTTTAATAAGAAAGCGACCTTTGTATTCATCGGAGAGGGAACCGAGCCCCTGAAAGCAGCCTTTGTAGTATCCATCGGGGAAAAACTAATCCCCGAAGGCCGTATTTGTTTCCGCCGGTGGGGGGAACTCTAATCTCCCTCTCGTGGCTTCCAAAATGCTAAGTCAAAGTCGAAAGATAAAGCAAATCTGTACAGAAAGGCAAGACCCTCCTCGAGCGTTGGCCGCGACGTCACGGAAACGGTGGGACGCTATTGGACGCGGAGGTGGCGGAGGGATATCCGATTCCCTTTGAAGGGCATTTGCCGCTACCTTCTTAACCTGTAACTGACTATAGTGTCATGATGTCGTGTAAGCAAGTGAAGCCTTCATAATATAGGAAAAGACAAAACCTGATCTCTTTCAACATCTGCCTTCAAGCCCATTTGTTAAAAACCATGCTCCTATCCAGTGATTCGGATACTGTACCAGAATTCTTCCGATCACCAGCTGGTGGACCAACTTTTTCTGCACAGTGCGCCTACCGCAACTGAGATTGACATATTCTACCGTTGGTGACTGCATAAAAAGGGGTGTGCAGTCACCACAGAAATGACACCTTTAAATGGCTTGATTGTGTCAAACATTTTGGTAAGGGAACTACGTATATTTTGTTTTAGTGAAGGGGAAAGAATGTATAACTACCAATACACCAAAACGATACTACTGGTAGATCCCTTGATGATTGTACAAACTGTCAATTTTTGAACACGCAAATGTCACCCAGAACCGGTTTTTTTTTCTTTAATTTTCTGCTGATAGAGAACCAGAAGCTCGTTCGCGCGTGATAATAGGCAGATCTGGAGTTCATACCAATAGACGGCGGCAGACTTCAAAGTACGAAAACTCCCACAAGTACATAACATCATGCCGATGAGAACGGTCGTCTCTTCGCATCACCGGCCCCAGCCTGGCCCAATACAGCGCTGAACGAATCTCGCATTGTAGTTGTTACGGTTTGTCGTCGCCAAAATATTCCTAAAAAGCGCGATCACCAGAAAAGTTACGGTTATGGAACGATACAGTTTTCAGAAGCCAAGATTCTACTCGCGAGACAAGGAAAATTCACTGAAGATTGTCTCAAAACTCAGAAAACGAAAAAAATTGAATTTTTTGCTGTTTTATTATTTAAAAGCGCCGCAATCTCATGCAACCGGCGGAGGTGTCGACAATCAGCTGATCGCCGAGATCATGTACTGCCACTATTCAACGCGCTGATCGGATTGAAGGATATGCGTTGCAAGCAGAAATAAACAAAGTGGTAAATAACAATACGTTACAGTTATGCGAAAATCAGAAAGTACATACGAATAAGCTCGTTGACAGAATCGATAGAGTTGGTCGTGGACAGAATAACCAACGCGAAGACAGACGTGAGCCCCACAGCTCCGTACGTATCTCGGTTAGGGCTAACACGCACTGAAAGTGGAGAGCCAACTTAAAAACAGGGGTCGATAAACACTTCACGCGACGATATTTTGCATCCTCGTCACAATCGAAGGTCATGCTGTCGAAACTCTCCCGCTGTTGTAGCCTAAAACACTTTGTACATCCAATTTCGTCCACCGCGTCGACCGCCACAAACCAGCCGCCATGTTTTAAATCCAGGATTAAGAAACAACCAAAAACTAAGCGCCCAATGTTGAGCGCTTAAGTTAAGCGTAGTTTAGTGCTAGGTTTAGCGATAAGCGGGTTTGGTGCAACCGAACGAAACCAAAACTTATCTTAAGTTCCGGGCTAAGCTCCGCTTTGCGCTAAGCGGCGTTGGTGCAACCGGCCCTTAGGGGTATTGAAAAGAATTGCCTATGCTTATAAATTAAAAAAAAGATTAAAAAACTGCAATCGCTTGCACATCACTGTTGTACTGTGTACCATTTTCCCCTATAATCATGTAAATGTCTTTTTATTGCTCCCCAAACATAGCAAGGGTGCACCACAATTTTAACCCCTTGCATAGACGTATCGTCCTATATGGACTATAAAGCCCAACCATGAGCGTGACGAGTGTTTCATTTTGGGAGCTTGTTTAGTGCACTCTCTGGCAGAATCGCCCGTGCCGCTTCTTTATTGCTCTCCTTATCTCGGGACGTTTCATTGTATTTCTTGCCTTTTGTCGCAACTGGTGGAGAGAGATGAATTGAAACATTTTGAAAGGGTTAGAGAAGAACTTAATTCAATATAATTGTAGTCTTCATTTCATGTGCCTACGAAGAGCCCATTGCCTATGAAATAGTGCACAGCAAGATACTGTAACTAAGAGAATGAACACACTGAAATTGACATTCACAGGAGCAAGGGAAAACAAAAGCCAGAAAAGAGCACATATATTTTAAAACGTAACAGCAATACAAATTAGAATAAGAAATTCTGCGACTTGTTATTAACAAAAACGAAAATTGCAGACAGGTGGAAAACAGAAGATGCATGTCTAATGAGGAACACTTGTACCTTTTAAAGAAAGCCAGAGACATGTCATGCATCCCGCAATAGCAGCAAAGAGGCAACCGACTACCATGGCCGCTGAGTGGGCTGGCAAAATGTCGATGTTTTTAAGCATATGGATCAACCGTGTTAAATACCAGTTGCATTTTTACGGAAAGATGATGGATGTGTAGAAGATAAGTAAGCACTAAGGGATAAGGAAGAACAAAAATAAACAGCTTAATGGGGTGCTGAACTAAAATTTGGATTTCGCAACACAAGGCAGCAAAAGTATCTACACTACAAGCTCCAGAACATTACTTGTGCATCAGTATCGCGAATAAATGGCCGCATCTTGGGAAAATGGAAGTGCGAGTGAGCGAGGCGCGTGATGTTACGATTTGCCCAGTACAGCCGAGGATGAGGGGAAGTGAAGAATTATGGCATCGTGTGCCTTGTTCAGGCTTGTCTTCTCTAAAAATACAGCAATCCATTCAAGATACTGTTGCATGAGAAATGTGGGGCTTGAAGACCCCCCTGAGCGTCCATTGTTTTTGTGAAATCTGAATTCTTGTTGAGTATCCCATTAACAAGTGTGCAGAATTGGCTCACCCATTGCACCATTTGAGTAGAGGGCAAAAAAGAGATCACTCAACAATGCTGACCACACAAAGACTGAGGCATCACAATGTCACAATGCACAACGTCCACTATATCACGACACTTTTACAAGGCACCGGTACTGGTCGGAGATGTTTACCTTCCCAGAGTGAAGGTCATTCACGAGTGCGGGCAGGAGGCTTTTTAAATAAAAGCCGCGAATTCTCGAAAGGTGGCTGTTCACAAAGTCCCTGTTGTACGGAACAACTGCTGTCATGTCGTGCTTGTCCGACCACACATACAGGTAGGAGGCTGACTTCCCAGTGCAATGCATCGCGAATTGGACTTGGTGGTAGTACTTGTTGCGTCCATTTTCTAGCAGTGTGTAGGTTTCGTCATCATTCTTTGGCAAGCCGTAAGCTCTTGT